AAAAAAACAAATAAAAAATATTTTTTTTTCTATTTTTTTTTTTTTTTTTTTTTTGTATAAGATATTTATGTCTTAAAATGAAATGAAATGAAAATAACTCAAAAAAATTTAAATTAATTCCCAAAATCCGACGTCTCATTCTTATTTACACGTCTCATATCTATAAACAACCGCCATCTTATTATAGCGGGAAAGAAAACATCGACTGCATTTCTCAAAAACGACATGTAAGGTTGATATACATGACGGTTAATATATAAAACTAAAATCTACGAAAAAATTTGTATAGACATACAACATCCGTTAGTACAACAGAGTAGACGTGTTAAAAGCATACAACGTCGGTTATAGGGTAAAATATGACATTGTATATCTAAACAACGTCATCATCAACATAATAATCGACGGTGTAAATTCTACCCACGTCGGTTATTCAGAAAAGGTGGACGTTGTAACTTACTAACCACGTCGGTGCATACATTGCGACGTATAATGTCTTCTAGGACGACATCATGTGTTATTTAACGTCGTTGTAAACTGATAATATTTAGTTATATCAATCTACTGTGGTAAGGTCTCATGTCTCTACTGAGCGGTGGTTGCTCATCTCTCACTCTGTTTAATTTTTCAGATGAATTAGTGAGTAAGACAAGGACTAAACCAGTTGTGGCTGAATTAGATAAGAATGATATAGCTTTATTTATTTCTTGTAAAGTTGTAAGATTTTGGAGCTATTTTTATAAGAGAAGTTTATTTTAAACCCTTGTTTCGGCTTTCTTTTTATTTTATTTTACTTTTTATTTTCTCACACACCGGGCGCAGGGTTTCCACCGACCCCCGAGTCCGAGGCGTGACAATTTGATTTAGGGATAAGTGATGTCATTATCATACATGTATATTAGGGAATTGTTTTAAAGAACGATTCAATCACGTTTTACTGTTTTTAAAAGTGAATTGAAGTTTATTTAGGAGTGTTTTCTTTTTATGCAATTTCGGTCCAAATCAATTTGATTATCCTATCAATTTCATGTTTTAATATCCCCTTAATTTTCTAACGTGGAAATCATGTTTCAATCATATTACAATATCAAGGAGTCAAGATACCCGTAATAGTTGACTAGGCGTATAAGAATTCATTTGATATTGATATTGATCAAAATCTTCCTCTCATTTCCTATTGGTTGGACTACACGTGACCAATCTCTAGAATAGGAAAGATACTTTTGTGATTTTCTGTCAAGCCTTGGAAATTGGAGATTTGGTTTTCAACGTGCTTATGCTTATGCTCGAAAGATACTTTTATGACCAATCTCTACAAAATATATTGCCTGACATGCTTATGCTCGAAAATCAGCTGCCATTTTTCAATCTCGAGGATCTTTACAACCTACCCAAAAGAATCACAGGTACTGAGAACCTTCAATAATTAAACTCTCTTCCAAGTTCTTCCAAATTTTAGAAAACTTGGAGAACTCACCAGCCTTCCGTAAGTCTATTATGCCTCCTGATCCTAAAAAACCTTTACATTTTGTTGATTTTATTAGAACTTTACATCTACCAGATCCAACCCTAAAAGAAAATGTAGGGCTCCAAAGTACACCCAGCATGACAATACTACGCCAGGCCGGAGTTAAGTTTAACGTGGGATCAAGCAAGAACTTATTCGATATACAGTTCAAGAAAAACACCTTGGAAATTCCAAAAATTGAAATACATGATTACACTTAGAAATCTCATTGCCTTTGAACAATGCCATTGCGTGGATAAATACATAAGCGATTATGTTTTCATCCTGGATAAATTTGTAAACACCCCAAAGGATGTAGAGTTGCTTGTTGAGAATGAAATTGTTGTAAACACGCTAGGTGACAACAATAAGGTTTCCATTATGATTAACAAGCTTTGCAGTAAAGTTGCTCCGAACCACGAAAACTACTATTTTGGTGATCTTGCTGGCAAACTAAACGAGTACTGCGAGAAGACCACGAACATATGGAAGGCAAATTTGAGACAAAAGTATTTCAACACACCTTGGGCAGCTATTTCTCTCTTTGCAGCTATTATTCTTCTGATACTCACTGTCATACAAACAGTGTGCTCTATTATCTCTGTTATTGATCAAGTATTAGCAGTAAGTCTCTCCGTAGCCATTTTCTCCCTATCTTGTTTTTTGTTTTTCGTGTTTTGTTTTGTTTTCAAGTATGTAAAAGAGTGGATCAGGGCTAGATTCATGTTGGTGTGTTGTAGAAGAAGTTTGTAACCCTGTTGCTAATAAGAGCTGTACTATTATTATTATTATTTTCCCTTCTATGGATCTAAGGACCCCTTCAAAAAACAACTATCGTAAAGCAAACTAACTTAGAAATTTTGTTTGCTTTATGATATTAGAGTTGTGTACAACTATCATAAAGCAAACAACTATACTAGAGTTAATTATTTTTTTTCAGTTTTTTCAGTTTTTTTTTTAATTTTTAAAATTTAAAATATTTTAATTGAAATGGACGGTTTTAGCCCTCAAATTAACAGCCAAATTGACAGAAGAACTCAATTGGAACTTGGATGACCTAATTGCCTCAAAAAGAAAGTTCGAGGTCCCAATTGCAATTGGGGGCCAAGTTCAGGGACGTCTACAGTAGATAACCCTAATAGAAAAGTTAACAAAATTGATGGTAGAACCATTGGAATGATTTTGGAAATTGAGGGACTAAAATGTAAATTGGGTCTAAGTTCAGGGACTTATAAAACAAATAACCTTAAAAACTGATGACGGGAAACTCATAACTATAAGGGCTTGTCCAATATAGATCCCTACATTTTCTATTTCCTAGACATATACCCATCACTCTATAAATCTATGTGTGAAACCCAATTTCAAATTTAAATGACCAGTAGGATATAAGAGGTCGTAGTATTTCTATGTTTTTACATCGTTGCCACTAAACTTCATATTTTATTTATAATTTATTTCAACCATTTCATTAACTGCCATAA